CATATTGTTGCACACATGTTTCTGCATAGAAAAACATGGTGGAAAGGGTGGGGGTCGCCACACATCTGTCTCATATGCATGCATTAGATTTGGTTGTAGAACAAGCAAGTGTTGGGTGGGTGGCCGTGGACACGTCTACCGTCGGAAAGCTATTTTGTTTCAAAAGAGCCATAAAGTTATTCTAGAATCTAGATATTAATGGAAATTAGCTATAACTAATGTTTGAAACTGCCAAAAGTCCAAAACACTTTAAAAATATATACTGAATCATATATCTGAACATAGACTAGTTTTAATAATATCATTCCACATTTTTAGTAGGTACTATTCTGCCAAATATTTTGAACACTACTAGAAAAAGGGCTATAGTTAATATGGACATTAATAGCAGTGGCGCATCATATGTAGGTACGTCATTAGTGTTCATATCATTAATGGCGCACCACACCCACGGTGCGCCACTACTAACAATTTTTTTATTTTTCCAAAACTAGTAGTGGCGCACCAGGGCATAGTACGACATTACTAGTTTTAACTAGTAATGGCGCACCACACACTCTGTGCGCCACTACTAACAATTTTTTTACTTTTGTTTTCAAAACTAGTAATGGCGCACCAAGGTATAGTGCGTCATTACTAGTTCTGGTGCGCCATTACTAGTTCAAACTAGTAATGGCGCACCACAACCACAGTGCGCCACTACTAACAATTTTTTTTTTGCAAAACTAGTAATGGCGCACCACGTAACAGGCGCGCCATTAGTAACCAGGGTTACTAATGGCGCATTGTTAGGTGGTGCGCCATCACTAACTTTCTTTGCACCCCCTGTGGACTGCCTTTTCAGTTTTAGAAAAAAATAAAAAAAATGATGGAAATGTCAAACAAAAAAGAAAATCAGTTTGCCATGTGATATGTGGTCTAGTTGTTGGGAAAATTTACAAATATGAATTTTGACTTTATTTGCAAAATCTCTCTAGAATTTAGTAAAATGGGCATAACTTTTGCATACGAACTCGGATTAAAAAGTTTTTTATATGAAAAATCATCTACTCGAAAAGTTACATCTGAATTGAACTGGGGGAGCTATGTTCAAGATTTTCAGAATCCCCAAAAACCTAAAAGAACGAAAGATACGGGGCTTTTAAGATCTAGAGGGGGAAAATAAAAAAAAATCAAACTTACTAGTGGCGCACCATTTGCTTGGTGCGCCACTAGTAACAGAAAAAAAATTGGTTTCAATTTTTTTTTATTTTTTTTCAAAATATGATACGTAATATGACCGGGAAGTTTGAAATATTTTTCAAAATTTCATCACACTCATGAACATGAACAAAGTCCTAGACATCAAAAAGGTTTAATAGGATTGATATGATATAAACAAGTGCCTGTTAAGTGAGGTGGTGCTGGGGTTGGATAGAACTGCGAAGTTAAGCGTGCTCGAGTTGGAGTAGTGTGAGGATGGGTGACCTTCTGAGAAGTTTGACCACTTAGTGCAATTTGACTCAAGATTAAGCATATTTGTCCGAGATTAAGAAAAAGCAAAAAAAAATATTTGAATTTTTTTTGAAAAAAAATTCTAAAAAAATTTGAATTTTTTTGTTAGTAATGGCGCACCAGATATGTGGTGCGCCATTACTAAGTCAGATAGTAATGACGCACCGTTGGACATAGTAATGGCGCACTATGTGGTGCGCCACTACTATCTGGTATACTAATGGCGCACCCCTGGCGCATCTATAGTGCGCCATTAATGGCCAAAATAGGTGCGCCACTAACAGGCCTTTTCCTAATAGTGGAACTTTTTCCATTAGACTATTTGCGTTATTATCTACCTCATGTGCAACATCAACCAAAATTGTCCCCATCATACTACTTGCCGGATGAAACTGCCTTATTCTCCAAAATGAATAATGGCCATGAAGGTTGAAAGCCTCATATACTCCCTCCATTTACTTATACAAGGCCACTATGAAATATATATTTTGCATCTAGACAAGGCCACCAAAAGTAATCGAGAAAAAAATTAATGATGTTTCCTCGTAGTAGCAACTTTTTAAATATTTGCATGCATGCAGTCATAATGACACTCGGCTACTTCCTCCACTCAGTTTTCTTGCATGCATGTGGTGTATTAATGATCTGAGTAAACGAAAAGAAAGATGAGTTGAAAAACATGTATGCAACTTTGTCTTGGTACATTTAATTTGAGTTGGTGGCCTTGTATGTAAAAATGAAGGGAGTATCTCGTTTTACTGCTTGTGGTTTAATTTTGGTCTTGTAACATAGTTAGGGTTCAATGTGTACTTTTAAGTCTAACACACACACATAATTGCTCTGATGTTATAGAACAAAATATCAATGCCATCCTTCCATGGAATAGGTGTTTCTTGGGAATAATTAAGAGTTCAACTTATATATAATTCTATAATATTTCCATAAGCTCACTATGAATACCAATATACTGCACTTACAATGCATATTTTTTTCTCAAACGGATAACACTTTAGTTGAATTAGCAACACATGAGATGGTCCCATGAATGTACACACCAGTTGGCATAATATAGCTCTTCTAAGAGCGTGCACAAATGTGTTCCATGGAGGAGAAAGATGGAGGGAGTGTCATGAGGTGGTGGATATAGAGAGTTTGTGGAGAAATGCTTGTGTGTTATAATCATGCCAAGAAAACCAAATTAAAATATAAACCATGGGATGAATTATATCATTTTGTGGTGTTAATTAAGAGGATTCATTATCCAAGAGTAAGTTAAAACATAACTAGAATTGACGAGAAAAACTTCTTTTACGACAGTAGATCAACTAGATGGGTTGTAAGGTGTTTAGTATATTAATGCAACTAGTGCTTTGTTTTTTAGAATAGATATTGTTCTTCATGGACCTTTTAATCAAATATGTTCAACAATTATGGTGTCATTTTGACATGTTGTTATACTATAACCTTTACATGCATGGTGCACTAATACCTTTTTATTTAATTGGTCAATATGGCACACAATAAGTGCATAGACAGGATGGTAAAATTTTAGTTCAGTAGTCTATGAAAATGGGAAGTTCGTTTAAAAAAAGCAATCTCGCCATAAGCTTGATATATTGAGGAAATATGGCCAATATGTGTTATTCGTGGAATCGAAGTAGTTCTTATCTATTTTACATGAGTGGTTTATCTGAAGTCTTAAACTATAGACCTCTTAGCTATGGTACCTCAATCAGTTGAATGTATTTAAATAGTTTACCCCAAAATAATGAGCAATTGGGGTAAGGTTGGCAATAAATTCAAACATTGAGGATCACATGCAGTAGAAGGGGTAGAATGTTAACCGATTGTCAATCTTTTCTTTTGGCCTCCAGATATGCCTCTCCTCATTTCATCCCCCACTAGAGTATCTGTGCACTCTGACAAACCAAGTATCTGCATTGCATAGATGTTGCGATTATGCTGTTAGGGTAAATGAGAGTAAATGAAGAAGTTACAATAGCACATACCTTTATAATGTAGTTTCTTGTAAGGTTTCTTCCTTCTCCAAATGTGGTGGCCTGCATATAAATATTGTAAGTGACTAGGAAAATTGAATCTCATTTTAGCAAATCAGAGGAACAATCAAAGCAAGCACCTTAAAAAATGAGTCAAGATTTTTGTCCACTTCATTTACGACATCCTTTTTTCCTCTTGCTGCTTCTCCGATTATCTCTATGATTTTCATTCCAAATATGAGAACTATATTAATGAGTATTCATGTCACGGCAAAGAAAGACACCTTGAGCATACACACAGAAAAAGACAGGTTGAGCATCACCATGAGTGGTTCTAGAGTTATAGTTTACATATATATGGGTTCTATTATAAATTAGCTAATTCGTGCACATGGAATCTAGAGCTATATGATACAAGTAATATGAATCGGCGGTGACTTACCGAATTCGTTATCGGTTCCCAACATATTGGATGCAAAATCAATCGTCTCTCTGACGGTCATCTCAGCATGGTGAAGATCATACTGGCTAATGTAAGCATGCATGTGTTGTGGTGTTGAGGAATTCACTTCATCTCCATTGTACATGACCTTTCCTTTGCGCTATTAACAGATGTTACATCAAGAACAATTGTTTTGTTATCCAATGCTTTTCTTGTAAGTAGGTGCTTTCATTACCCCGCAAAAAAAAGTAGGTGCTTTCATTTGCATGTGTATATAACTTAATCTGCTACCTTCAAAGACAAATCCAGCTTTCCTGCCAATGCTTTTAAAAAGGTTGTTTTCCCGGAACCAGGTGCTCCCAGTAGAAGTGTCATCCTGATTTATGATAGGATTACAAAGGATCTTTGGTCAGTAAACTAATGAATCATATACTATTGAGCTAGTAAATGTATGCATATCCCTTACCTTAGAGAAAATTGTTTTGAGGAAAACTGTGTCTTGATATTTACTATTGAGCTAGTACCTTACCTTGATGGTCGAATTGTTCCACTTGCTCCATTTATAATTTTGACCGCTCTTTTCCTTGGTGTGCACATGTGCGAATGTGATGCCAACTCCTACATAAAGAGATTAGAAAGATGTTTCCACTCAGAAATAGTATAGACATTTACATCATTGAGGGCTTAGGCGAACCTCCTCCACCTCTGTTGGTGGCAGTGCGTACCTGGGCGGCGTTGACGACGCAGTTGGGCAGCGTCGGCAGCTCCCGGCGGCCGATGCGCACGTGAGTCTCCACGGTGAGGTCCTGGAACTGTACCTCCACCTTGGGGCTGCCGATTCCCAGCCTGCGAAACAAAGCAAACTAAGCACAATCCCTCCATAAAAACCATAACGTATCAATCGTCGTTGCACTTGCATATATACTATACATTTGCTTCTTGTCGCGGAGCATCTGGAGGAAGCGGCGATTGTCCTCATGGGTGAAGGGCGGTGGCTCGTCCTCCGCCCTCCTTGCCGCCATATCCGGCTGCGAGCAAACGATATGTATGAATATGATCCTCGCAGATTGCAAGTGCCTAGCTTAGTTGCTTGTCCTCATGGATGGATGGATGGATCATATCCTCCCATGTATATAAGTAGTTTGGATGAGCGCGGGAACCTAGTTATGTGATATTTGGAGGCTCATCGATCGCGTGGAGAGATAAAGAAAACAAAGTCTTCCATGGGTTGGATTTATATATATATATATATATATATATATATATATATATGGCAAAGTATATCTCCAAAACAAAGTCTAGGATCATGTAGTGCAAAAAATTAATAATAATACTCTGGATTGATCGTACTGCTTGCTATTAAGCGCGCCCATCCTTGCGAGCAGTGCCACACATGGCATGCTCCAACACAACCTGACTCACATATCTTGAATCAGCGATATCCTAAAAAAGTCTTCGATTCAGTGGATGGCTACGTCTCCTCTCTTTTCTTGATTTCTTAATGAGCGAGGACATCCAGCTTCACACCATTGAGCTAGCTGGTACTATCTGTACCATGTCATGCATGTTGGGTATGTATGTATGTATGTATGTAGGATTCAGATGTGACAAAGTTTTAAATAGAGTGCTATGTCATTCGGCGGCAGCTCAGCCAGAAGCAATGAAATGTTACTAAGGAGCTATAGCCAAGCTAAGCACATTCAATATTTCTCGTTAAATCATGAAAAAATTGAAAAACAAAGCATACATGATTGACCAGCAACCTATGCTTGACATACATGTGCATGCATCAAACAACCAAGCGCTGATCAAGGATCATAACTTAATAACCAAGCTTGGCATCAATGCATCGTATATATGAATGCATCAAGCTGAAATTTGGAGCGCCACGACGTGATTTAGAAATTTTTGGCCCAACAGTAATATAGTGATGCTAAATGATTCTAAATTTTGCGATGCTGAATGACTCTCAAGGAGTTCTTCAGCAGCTGGACTCCTTTAGATACAATTTTTTTGGTAGTGTGATAATGAATCCAAGGAATATCAGCAAGCCAGATGGAGTGTATTATGCCGACCTAAAAGTCCAGGGCTCCTTGGAATTCAAGATCTTGAGAGAAAAAATATCGCTCTTCTGAGTAAATGGGTTTACAAACTACTCATTGAGAATGAACCGTGGTGGGATATTCTTCGTAACAAGTGTTTGGGGTCCAAAGCCATTTCTCAAGTTCATTGAAAGCCCAGGGATTCATATTTTTGGCATGGTGTGATGAAGGCCAAGGAATTGTTTTTCCAATTTGGCACTATCTTAGTTAGAAATGGTTCTCGGGTTCGATTCTGGGATGATACCTGGCTGGGCGCCGCCCCACTTATGGTGCAATACTGTAGCTTGTAAAGAATTGTTAGACATAAATTTATCATGATCAAGGAAGTTTTGGGACAACAAAACTCTGATATTTCTTTCTGTAGGGATCTTTTTGTGCCCTGCCTGACAAAATGGAATTAATTACTCATTCGTCTAGAGTCCATTCAGCTGTAAATCGAACTAGACAAGTTCTTATTCTTGTTTGGAAAGATCTTGTATTATTTTTTCCGCGAAATCTCAAGGATCAAACTGAGTTGAGAATCAAGTTTTTTACATAAAAAATGCTCTAATTAATTCCGGTGGTAGCATATTAATAGAAGCGCAATCATGGGGTGCCCAGGGAGTATTAGCACTGCAGGATCCACAGTCCCTTTCTTATCCTCCATCTAGCAGCCGTCCATTATGTGTTCATTATTAGTGCATAGTTTCATCTACTGCCTACTTCCGGACGGAGGGCTATTCTCTATGCCTGTGTGGAAAGGGACAGTTAACTGCATTTCTGCTGACAAATATAGAGAGACACAGAGAGTAGCTAGCTAGCTTGAGAAGATAACGAGCGCATTATGTCATGTTCTGTTTGCGCACGCGCATGAGAGAGAGAGGAGGCATGTGCTTGCACAAACAGGTTAGAGCATCTTCAGCCGCGTCCCCAACAGGCTTTCTTCAGACGCTTTTTCCGCGCCGGCGCCCAAAAATCGGCTCAGTGGCGCCCCAGAAGCCTGTTTTTCACCGGCTTGTGCCGAAATTAGCGCCGGCGGCCTCAGGCCGAACCCGGCGCGCTGGGGGGCGCCCGGTGCGCCGAGGCGAGCGGTTTTGGCGTGAAAGAGCCGCGGGCCCACCGAGTCAGCGGCACGCTCCTCGTCTTCCCCAGAATGCATCGGTTTCCCACGGGGAATCAATGGCAAGGCTGCCGCCGGTCAGCCTTGCCATTGATTCCTCACGGCCGGCGCGTCAAGGGCTGGCGGGCGCGGCGACGCCTCCTCTTCCGCCACGCGTTCACACGGCGTGGGGCTATAAAATCGGAGCTCCCCCTCTCCGCTGGCCACACCAGCCCGAGCCGCCAAGCCCAAACCAGCCGTCGTCCATCCTGTCCGCCGCCGAGCTCTACCGCTCTCTCCTTTCCTCCCCTCCCCTTCCCTTTTCCTCTACATGGTCGAACGCTTCCCCGACGACGCCGCGGTGGCCAACGGCTTTGGCCGCCGCTCGCTCCAGGAGTGGGAGGCGTACCTCCTATTCGAGGCCAACATCCCGACGTCTGGTGGGGCGTCCCGGGCCACACATTCCACGAGGTGCTGGCGCACCTCGAGAGCGGCAATGACCCGCTGCTGGCATACCCAGGATGCCCAGGAGGTTCAGCTCCTCCTCATCGCTGTTCGGTGTCAAGGCCAAGCCCGCCTCGGAGACGCCGCTTGGCCGGCGCACCCGCAGCACCGGCATCATCATCAACGAGGGCGGCAGGCGCCCCCCTCCCCCTCGGCTCCTCTGCGCTACGTCAAGCCAAAGACGGATCTGGGGCTCGCCGCCGTCAAGACGGAGCCCGGGCTCGCCGCCGGCGTCAAGGAGGAGGAGCTCGACGACGCGGCGGCTCTCAAATGGGTGCGCGATGACTGGCGCAGCTGGAGCGCCAGCGCGAGCGCCTCGCCTACGAGAGTTTCGAATCTCGGTGCCGTGGCTGGGACAAGGGAGGCGTCGTCGTCCTCGACGAAAGTGATGGCGACGCGCCGCCGCCACCGGTCCGCCATGGAGACGCGGGGCAGGGGTCTAGCAGGGGTGGCCGCGCCATCAAGAAGTAGAAGGCCAACGACAACGCCGACAACGAGGATGGCGGCGACGTCGGCGACTTCGCCGCGCTGAGCGACTTCTTCGCCCCGTAGTTGTTTTTTTAAATAACTTATGTAATAACCCCGAACATGTCGAATATTATGTCAAGTTTGCCGAATTTAGCTGAACGTTTTGTTCAATTTGCCGAACTTTGCCGAATTCAGTTTTTCAAAAAAAAAACCCCGTCTAGGGGCGATCCTGCGTCGATTTTAGCGCCAGCTTGCCCCAGGGGGTGCGTAAAATCACCGCCTGGGGGGCCAAGAACTGGAGATGCTCTCAGGCAGTGGTAACAATTTCTTGTGCTTCGTACTATGCCATACTGCTTGTTGCTTGCATCTGCCATACATCTGCCATACTGCTTGCTATTAAGCCCATGCACGCGTGCAAGCAATATGTGCCCCTGGTTTGACTAAGCACATGCCCCATCTCCATCTTCATCCTCGCCTTCATCTCCATCCCCATCTCAATCTCAATCTCAATCTCGATCTCAGAACAGAACCTCACATGTCTTGGATCAGTGATAAGCTAGAAAAATTAAGTCTTCAATTCGATAGCAACGTCTTC